CTCCCACCTCCCTAGGGCACTAGCTGACTTGGCAGCCCTCAATCCTAAAAGCAAGACCTTTATTAATGATGAAAAATGACAGTGGAAGAGTAATAATGTCAAAACCCCTGTAGTGTGAGCAGACCTGGGCCAGCCAGGGCCTTTCCTGGGGAGATGCTTTCTACCACCCACCAACTAGCCCTTACAGAAGTATCCTCTCACTGCCAGTCACACCTGAACATCCAAGAACTGGAAAGAAAACAAACCCATCCGTGTTTCTAGTATGTAGATTTCAGACTTCGGATTCTGCCAGAACAGGAGCCATGACATCACCATGCTGAACACAAGGATTAGAAAATGAGCCACTGCTTCCAAAAGCAGTAAGGTGACAGCATGCCTTGAAAATCCCACTTCCTCTTTGCCTGAGCCATTAAGGTTCCTAAATACATTTACAGTTCTGTCCTATGCATTTACATTTCGATGCAAATACCCAAAATTACATGCCTAGCAACACATTCAGAATATTGTTATTTTAAAGCTGTTAAGAAACAAGCAAACAAAAACGTTAGCTTAATGCTTCTCTGAAGTGTTCAACAGATGTTAAAATAACTTAAAACATGTTCATCCTAGACTATATTAGCAGCTGACAATTTAAATATCCTCTTCATTGAGTTTTGCATAGTTTCTTTCTTTTGAAAACCTTTGTTTGGCTAGAAGACATTTTTGCTTATTCTTCCACATGAAAGAATATGCTGACCCTATACAGAGCTTTAAATATCTGTCAAAGCTGAAAACATTCAGCTGTTTCATCCTCTCACCCTCAGATAAATTAAGAGTCCTAACTTAATCTGTTTTTGAACTGGGATTCTCATAAGCTTAGCCAAGTCTCTTCTCACATACCTATGTCATGAATGAGACTGCAAGCACATACATTTATGTGGTTACCCTAGCGGGTAATGCATCTTCTAAAAAGGATGCTTTTGTTACCATTTTTTAGCTGATAACCTTATTGTCTATCAATTTCTACACACACACTCAAAAAAAAAAAAAAAAAAAAAAAAAAAAAAAAGAAAAGAAAAACCAAACCCAAGTAACCCACCCAAACCACCCCAGCAAGGTTTCAGTGCTTGTAAGAGAGCAGAAGGATTAGTTTGTATCTATCTGACATAGGAGGGAAAGGATTACACACAGATTAAAAAGAGTAATTTACTAGCAAATAATCATTTTGCCTGCAGCAGTTACGTAAGTCAGGCATGTCAGTCAGCACAGGGATCCTGGTGTCACAGCACCCCTCAGCAACCCAGAGCTTAAGGGAGCCACTTACGCAAAGCCCACTGGCAAGCTGTGCGGGTGAGAGAGCCCTCTCTTTTCCTTGCTCATGTAACGTAAATTCTTGAAACCACACGATTTTCATCATGTTGGCTGAAATGAAATGAAATAAGCGCAGAAACCCTTTCAAAATGGTTCATTGCAGCCCTTGTAAAAGGGATAAATACAAATAGAATAGTATCTTGTCAGCGGGAAATAAAGTGTTACAACAATTTCCTTTTGGCTGTTGTGTCTATGATCTTGGCTTTTCCTGTATAACCTATTTGTATGAAACTACCTAAAAATGTTGCTTTGATTACATCGTACATCTAATAATCTATTTCCTGATTAAATGAAAATTTTAATTTTTTTTTGTAATGTTGTATGTGTTAGTTTAGGATAACATTGTTCTTCAAGCAGTAGGAAACACCATGGGAAAAATTCCTTAGATAATTACTTTAAAACACTTTTTTCCAAAATCTAATCTTGGAACAGGGTGAGGAAATTAATTTCATTTCAAGAGCTCCATAAGCCTCTTAAATGAGTTTTGCCTTCAGGAAAAAATGATATTTATTTATTAAGAATTTCAGAGAATTCTCTCTTAATTTCTGCTTGTAGAGTGACCTAGTAAATAACTTTACTTTTAAATTCATAATGCATAAGTTACTTACTTGTAAACTTATTAATTTAGGATCATTATCATCCTCCTGACCATATTGAATTGAATGTCCTTTGCAAAAGGGCTGGTGGTACAGAAGCATATTTTTCCTTACTGCAAAATTAAATGGGAAACCCTTTAACCAAGAAAATAGAATTATGGATAAACTACTACTAAGTCTTGAAATACTAAACCTTTAATGACCTCTTATTGCAACAGTATGAGATAGAAAATGTTAGACTAAGTTTCTGCATAATGCACATATTGTTTTAATTGCTTGTTTAAAATAGTTTGGAGTTAAAAGTGGCCAGTATTGGGGGGATGGGGAGTGGGAGGTGGTGGAGAAAAGGCATGTCCAAAGTTTTTTAAGTAGATTTTTTCCTGTCGTGAAGACACTGGTGTGAATTGAGACACTCTTTTGGTGTTTTTTTGTTTTGTTTTTTTTTTTTAATTTGTTGTTCCTCTATGCTTTCCAGCAGATCTTTCCCCTTTCCAATTTTACGAGCTGTTTCATTCCATGAAAACGTTGCAACTAAAGGGCTGACATTTCCAATTCAAACTTTCTCCAAGTTTTTCCTTACACCAAGTTCAAGTTTTGAGTTTCTGTTCTTGGTCAGAAGAAAAAGCTAATTCTGAAATGTCAAGATCTCTCATGGGATCAGCTTTCCCCTTTCTCAGCCAGGAAGCCCAACCGCCTGCCCCTGCACAGCCATGCCATGCACAGGCATGCATACCAGCCATGGAAGAATCCAGAAGAGTTTCCACTGCATCCTTTCAGCAGCCATGACACATCCATTTCTGGTGAAGGGCTCCAAACCATAATTTGTGAGTTAAAAATAAAATCACACCACTGACGGATCTTCTCAGGCCATCTTAGTAAGCACTACTGCTGCCTTCTTGCAGACCCCAGCAGAGGCTGTGGCTGCTCTTCCATCTCAAGGGATAAACAATTGCTTTCCTTTTAAACATGAATTTAAAATTAAACTGAGTCTAGGAACCGAGACATAGCACGACAATGAATAAAGAGCAGTAAATTAATGCAATTAACAATACAGTGGGATAGAGCATTTTGCACAGCAGAAAGAAAAATACACAATGGCAGAAGTGAGCTCCAGCACACTAGAAAGGGCACAAGACTTAGTAGTCTAAACTCTGTTCAGCCCTTTTGCTTTTTGAAACGTACGCAACTATCTGTTTTTCCTGTAACTTTGACAAGAAATTAAAAGTCCAAATATTTGAAAACATGTTTGTGGGTATTCTAAATAAACTCAGCTAACTTGGTTATCTACTAGTCCTGAAAACCATTATTCTCAGACGCCTGTCCGACTGAATTGCCATGTTTGGGTTGTCCCTTTCTCCAGCCTTATAAACTTCATCTCCAGAACTTTAAGTGTGTGTATATATATATTTATGTATATTATTTAGTAACTAATGTAACTAGAATTTTTGCTTAAAATACTACTCACATGTTGGTTTTCCTTTTCTACATTTAGCTATCGGTCCCAGAATAAAGAGCTTTCTGCTTCAGTTTTCTTAAATATTTCTAATCTACTACTAAAAAAATGTCATAATTTCTAATTATTATAGATAAAACAAGTTTAAGGCATTCAAAACCTCTCAGTAAGCAATATTTTACATCTTACAAGACCTGTGATTCAATACTGTTATCAGGAACAGCAAGCAACAGTTCTTAAAGACCCATGCAAGCCTGGGGCAATTTTAAAAGAAAAGCCTACAAAAACTTCACTTTTTTCAGCTGCTGAAGACTCTTTTTCTGAGAAAAGATGAAGGAATGGTGGTTAGCCAATTTAGCTGTTCATTTGTTTCATAAAAGCATATGAATTCAGTTTTACTGCAAGCCTCATGCTAAGTAGCTCTGCATATGTTGCAGGGTTTGTTTTAAGCCATTTTTGTTGTAACACACAACTATCCGTGATCAAGAAAAAAAAAAAAAAGTATTTATAGCCTTTATAATCATGAAGGAAGAACAGACTGTCTAACAGTATGGCAAATAAAAATAACAATTCATTCTCACCCTTCCTCTAAACTTCAGTATACAGACAAACACCTATTTTTCACGCCTCAACCCAGGCAATGGAGAGGACCCAGCTCAGAAGCGTTAGACTAGCAATATTGCAAAGGGCTTCCTTGCTTACTTATGGTTGTTTCTTCCAGATATGCTTTCTAGTAAGCATGAGAGAAATATCAAAAGGTAAAGAACAACAACTCTGAAGTCTCTGCCCCATCATGTAACTTCTGCCAGCACCAGTTCTGGGATTGATGTGAGAAATGATGAGCCCTTACAACAATGGAGTTGTAAGTATTTTCACTCTGCCTATGGTCCTGCTACAATTAAAACCCTTTGAAAGCCTTGCTTAAAAATACCTGTTTAAAAATATTTTTTAAAAGTTAAAGGCTGTAAAATGGTCTTTGGACCTGACCTGAATGTCATTCCAGCTCCCCTTCACAAAGGAAGACAGATGAAGCCATAGCATTACCCAAGACCCTGGCCGAGGACCCCCACTGGGGTATTCAGAGAGGTATCCTGATTGAAAATAAGGGTGGACTGTTGTGCTCTCATCCTTCTGTTCCATTTCTCCTCTCTGAGATTTGCTTGTTTTCTTTAGTCCCTTCCCTCCTACAATGCCTGGGCTCAGGGGAGAACTAGAATAGCCACCTCTTAATCCTCACATTTTTTTGTTTTATTTTCAAAATTATTTATTTGGCTTTCTACAGTAACTGCACACAAGAGATATTTATATACATTTAAAGCTAACAATCCCCACTGAGTTTCACAAGCTTTTACAAGTTGCTATAAGAGAATCACATGGCAAAAGAATGATGTGAAGTCAAAAGGTGAATGCTGTCCTCTGGGACCACAGATATGTATTCTGGTTCACAAGAGTGAAAAAGCATAGCTCAAATTTAAGTCACGCCCATCCACTGCTTTCTTTTCTGTCCCCGCTGAGATCTCCACCAGTGTTTTTAAATAATTATTTTTCTTTTCAATTAGGCCTAGATTCCAGACATACTTAAACCAGTAGTATTACTACACGCTGTAGCTAGATATCTAACACACAAGCCATTATAGCTCACTCCAAGAGCATCAGCCATGTTAGTCCTCATAAAATTTCCTAAAGACCCAGTTTCTTTCTTTTTTAAAAAACAAAAATAAGTCACATTTACTTGAATTTATGCTTTTGGAGAAATCAATCTAGAAAGAAACCGTACCTAACAAGCAATCAGGGACTTCATGTATAGGTCTGCATGATCTCACCGTGGCCTTGAAAAACGGCTACAACTGGATTAATTTTTAATTAAAAAAATGAAATAAGAATGTAATTTGCCAGACATGTTAAAGTGGAGTTTACAGCTCTGAATATAGCCAGTATATAAGAAATCAATATTGATTTCCTCTGACGTTGGTTATTTTCTTGTGATTGATTATGTGGAAAAAAACCCCAAACACATAAACAGAAAAACCCAAACAAACAAAACCTGTATTTTTCAAGATGAAGTACTCTTTGTGATACTTACAAAGCCATTCCCATCTTCATCAAGGAAGGGGTATGCCTGCAGCAGAGCACTGACAACAATGTTATATTGCTGACTGTTTGGATACCTGTGCAAACAAGACAGAGATGTAAAAGGAACAGTTGGTATTCTAGACAGTACTAGACACTGTCTAGAGTCTATACTGAGCTACATTAAATTGACTATTTCTCAGACTATTGATTCCCCGCCAAATAACAAGGGGAATAGCTTTAAGGTTTGCACAAAATCTTCTGTTGGCTTCAACAGATTTCAGGCCCTTAGCCTCCTCTATTTAAGTAAGAATATTAAAGAGAATGGTTTCATATCCGTTTGAAAAGTTGTTTCTGAGCCAATAGGTAATACCCCCAAATAAATCCAACAATGTTTACTCACAGTGATCCTTCTAGGTATTTTGTCATATCTGCTTGTAAAAATTCAATAATCCTTATTCTCATACTGTGATCAGGGCATTTTTTTTCTGCTAATATGCACTTGACATCATAAGGGAAGTCTGGCAAAGCATAAGAACTTGTCCACTGCAATGTCTTGTATCTTGCAAAAAATGATTTCAGATTTTTTCTGTAAAAGAAAAGATTGTATCATCATGATCACATCCTTCTCCCATGGGAATGCAGACAAGAAAGAAAAATACAAGCAAAAACTCAACACAAAGGAAAGTTGTTGCATAGAAATTGAAATCTTCCTCTCTTGGTTTCTACATAAAGAATATCTACAAAAGCTGCAATCAAAACATATGGGGTTAAAACCAGATGTCAAATGTGAAATGTTATAATCAGCAGACACTAGTAGGTTGCTGCTAACTAAAAGCAAAAGGCAGAACAGAGGAAATCACTGGGGAATTGCTCCTGTAACAAATAACTTCCTGTCATCATTTATGTGTTTCCTACCAGTTCTGCTAACTTACTAGTAAGACTAAGATGAACAAACGTAATTGAACAAAATACTATCCATGAGATTAACTAAGACTGTCCTCCCAAAGGGAAAAGCAGAGAAGGAATGAAAGCAATTACCATCAGCAGGTAGCTGGAAATAAAGCAGGCACAGCCCGTAAGTACCTGCAGCTTCTCTCCCAAGACCACCATCAGCACTGTCTACAAATGTCACACCCCATCTGGGGTGAGCCTGTGGCAGAATATCACCGCTGGCTACTCAAGCACTTCCCACCTCCCAAAAGCCTGCCAAACCCTAATTCTGAAGGAAAAGAGGGAAAATTAGAGATAAATTGAGTCAGGAGTCAATCAAGAGCCACCTAAAAGATAGAGTGGTTCTGGCAACCCTAGACAGCTTCCCAGTCATAGTAGTCCAGCCACAACAAAGAAATCTCAAATGAGAAGTGCCAAAGACAACTAAAAAGTCCTGTTATGTATGTGATATCACTGCATTTTTATTTGATTTAATTTAAATTGCAGAAAGCAATTTGAAATAAAACTTGATTTTTTAAAGAATTTTTAAAATAAAATGGTATCGTTATAGATTAAAAATGTAGATGCTTACATGGTGTATCTAAATTAATCATCTGTAGTCCCTTTGTATTCACTAAGGAGACAAACACCGCTGAAGGATGACAGAACAATTAGAAGACATCTAAATCAGACCAGATGTTCTCTCTTGTCTATTTCCCTCTGCTAATGATGAAGGAAATTAAGATAGGTACTACAGTTGTTGAAATCTATGCTGTAAATATCTCAAGTTAGGAATTCCCCACTTGGGATATGTAAGGGAAACCTCCCACAAAAAGACTTGTGGCTGGACTAGACGTGCTCTGGTGTACCTTCCAAGCTGTGCTAGATTTTGAGTCTGTGAAAGTTACAGAGGGAAATACTGCTAGATTTCATCCAGTCAACATACAAAAGTTTTCACTCCTAAAGGTCTCTATTGTAGCCTATAAACCAGAGCTAGATATATAAATAAGAGCTGTGAACAGATTTCAGCAAGGTCTTCGCTGGAAGCTTTTGCTATCCAGACTTTTTCAGATAAGGATGTTATAAACAAAATCAATAACAATATAACCCATAAAAACCCCAATCAAAGACAAAAAAGAAAAATAACAAAAACTATGGTAGCCAATGTCTTTAAGCTGGCAAAATCAACTGCAATACAAATGGGTGATCATTTGCAATAGCTTTGTTTACACCACAGTGAAAGACTACTATATACCTCAGAGGCAACTCGTTTTGGACCAGTTACAGCCTCAGTATCTTCTTGAGTGGATTAGCCTGTGACTTTCAACCTTGTTGACCTGGTTATGCTGCCACAACAACTTGGCATCTTTTAACGTAGCTTGTGGGTTAGCAAAAGCTCTACAGCCATGGTGTAACTGCACCAAACCCAGCACTATGGCAAATTGCAATGCAGTGCAGAAGGGGAAAAAAAAAAAAGAAAAAGAAAAAAGAAAAAAAAAACATCTGATCCTCATAGTTATATTAACAGTAGTAGCAGTACTCACAGCATTACCATTTCCCCATGTAAAACAGGTACAAAATAGTCAGGGCTGCTGTCTGTCCAAGCTCACCAGATTGTGTGGGACACAGGTGATTAACAGTAGATGCAAACTGCAGTGAACTTCTGTTACTACTTTGCAGTCTCAAAAGAAGGAAAAGCTGTGCAAGAGTGAAAACATATCCATATATACACATTCATACCCTTGTTTAATGATAAACTAATACACAAATGGGAAATTAAAATCCAACCCAGATTCTGAAATCACTTGGAAATCCCTCCTATGCAAATAAAGTGCAGATGTTCAGTGTAGCATCGAGGAGCAATGTAGCCTGTAAGTTTGAATCCTGTACTTTTACCAACTTTACTGATGAAAGTGATGTAGCAGACAGGTTGAAAGTTGCTACATACTCTTCAACATGCTATATCATTTAAACTAGCTCAAAAATGGACAGACATTTAAAACTTCAGTAATTTGTATCTGAGCAGTACTGAAATCCCTTTTGTTGCTAACATCAGTGAAGCTGCCCCTTTTTGAAATGGCACTTCAAAGTTTAGCAGGTTCAGTTTGGGCAAACTGAACTATACTCAGTCACTTGAAAACAAATTTTCTTGCAGTTGGGATAGCTAATAGCCAGGGAAGCATGGGAACTCTCCCCTCCACCAGTCCCTTCACATTTACCAGTACAACAAAGATGCTCCAAATTCCATTTCTCTTCAGCCTTACCCAATACAAAATACTTCCTTGCTGTCCAAACAAGATCCAAAAATTCCTTTACCCTCCACAATGCAAGAGATTAGTTTTCTCACTGTTTAGGTTCCCAAAACGTCTCCCCGTGAGGCAAGAGATATACCAGTGTAGATGAAGCAAGATTTATGTTTGACCGCAATATGGAACTACATGCTAAGAAGCATCTCTTCAGCAAGGCCACAACTAGCCACAGAGCTATTGACCACTCAGCTTTTGTAGATGACCGTTTTACTTACTGTACAAAGTCACATCACTATTTCACACAGCTATTTCTTCCTCTGGCTCCATTACACTGCTCATGCACAGCACGTTTACCAACACAAAAAAATGTAAAATAACATCACTTTGAGAGGAGCCATTTGTCTCCTTCAGCTGGCAAAAAAACCAAACCCAAAACAAAAAACCAAACCAAACCAACAACCCCCCAGATCCTCACCTGTTTGAATTGTATAATCCCTGGCATCCTTAATCCCAGGGAAATCTTATTTTACTTTCAGAAAGACAGAGGATTACACACTTGCAGTGTCACTTAGACCAGCCAATGAAGGTTTTAGACTTCACTGGAGAGAAGAGCAGCGAGTGAACACATCACCATGGTCTCCAAGCTCCGTGTCCTGTGCAGCTTCACATAGAGGCACAGAGCTGCCTGAACTAGCTGTTAACAAGGCAGTAAAAATAATCTTGGTATCAACATAGACAGCGATAGGTAGCTGTGCAGAGCACAGCAGAGACCTAGAAATAAGTTCAAATACTAGATCATAATTAGACTCTGTCATTTTTAAGCTACTTGAGTGTACTGGTCAGAAGGATCAGTTTCCTGTATCTATTTAGTTTATTTAGGAATAAAAGTGACGTAAAGGCTAACTGAGCACATGCATACACATGCTCTGTGCCACTAGCTTTTATTATTACCTATTTTTTGAAGTTCATGAGTTTAGAGCACTCATTGCAACACCTCGCATCAGCTCAGGCCCCAGTTAATCAGAGGACATCACAGTTGAACAGACCTTTGCTGACATCAGTGGGTTCCCATGTTCAGTTCATCCAGATAACACTCAGCACGTGAGTGGAGCCTCAACAGATTTCCATTTTCACAGGTGAAGGTCTAGACTTTCATGTGCCTATATCACACATCAGCAAAAGACTCCTGTCTGAATATTTGTTGGATAGAAAAAAGCCTGTCTACAAAGCCAAGGAAGAAACAGAAGGGACGAGAAAATATGGAACTTGTACATGGGAAAGAAAGGAAAAGTGCAGCTGGAGAAAATGTTCCATTTCCCTGACTCATGTATAATATGCTTTCAACTTTATAACAAAATTTAAGGTTGTAAAAGTTATTTCATCAAAAGGAAGAAATTACGACAATGAAATATCAAGAAACCCTCTTTTTCCCTCCTCTTAATAGCAGGATAAAATAGTGTTGTCTTTTTCTATTCACATTTGTATTCTGAGATCTGTGCCTGAAAGCTTCTCGTGCCTCTTTCTTCATGTGTTTCACTTCCATTCCAACCTTCCAGGACAAATGCACAATTTCCCAATTACTCCTTAGAGCCTGGGACTAGTAGTTTACCTAGTGCTTGATGAAGTCATTTACTTTTCCAGTTCCAACTAAACACATGGCCAGGTATCCTGTAGACTGAACAAGAAGTTACCCGCGGCAGTGTTAACTCCAGCAAGGCTAGGATGCAGAGGCGGAGAGACACACCATAGCTGCCTATTTCCCAGAGCAGCTCCTGTTTCAGTTTATCCTGCAGTACCCTTGCTATAGAAATCATCACATTCAGTACAAGCACAAAGTTCCAGACAAAATTAATCAGTTTAAAAATAAGTTTGTGAGATGCAGACACAACCTTCTTCTAAAGCGAGTCAAGATTTTTTGACAGTTTCCATTCTGAGGAGCTGCATCTCATAAGTGAAGGCTCCGCACTTCCATCTCATGCAAGGGCAGCAGCTGTAGGTTACAGACAGGGGGAGAGAAAATGCTCCTTGGGGAATCTGACTGACAGAACTGCCAGCTAAATCAGGCTATTTTAAAGAAACAGGGTTTATTTGCATTCACCCATGTAAGATGTGTTATACTGCATCCAAATAACTATAATTTTTTTTGTTGTTTTAATGATTTTGGTAGACCTTAACAACACAATGCAATTAGTATCTCCTGCAAGTCATTTGTAAGACTGGTGTGTAAAAAAAAAACCCAAACAAACAAGCAACCAAACACCACAAAACCCAAACATTGTCAAAAACTAAACATAGGGGGGTTTTATGGCTTCTTTTTATATCCATGTGAACTAATTGAATGAAAATCATCGCATCTACTAGAAATAATTCTATTACATCAGCAATAAAGTTTCTGCATAGAAGCTAG